ATTTTTCCTTGGTTCCTCAGATACTTGTTGATATTATGGTGTGTGTGAATAAGTTTCCGTCATTTATTATATAGAGAATTTTTGTTTACCTAGATGAAACCAGCTTTATTCAAGAGCTAATCCAATGTACTTATGTTATCAGTCTAATTTAAATCATCAAAATGTATACGTTTTTCATACCTCTTCAAACATGGTGAACTTTGTACCCTCAAAACCGGTTTTGTGGGAAATTTTATTACGTTATTTTTTCCAAAAGAAAACTGCAGCTGAAAGGCATAAAATTCTTGTGGAAACTTATGGCAATCAACCCATCCTCTACCAAAACGAATATGGAGGGAATCGTTTCAACACTTTAAAAACAATGATTTTGATCTCTGAGGTAAAGACCGCCCAGGCGCCTCAAAAAAGTTTGAATAAAGATTTGGAAACGTTAGGTCATGAAGATCCATGCCAAATTCAAGAAGAACTTGGAGAATCCTTGTGAGCCGATCGAATAACAGTTTGTTGTTTGAAATGTTTAAAAGCTTAGAGATAATTCAAAAGGAAATTGGGTACTATATCAATTGAAGGAAAAGGGTGTCGAATATCGTTTATTTATCTGCGAACAATTGCTTCAATGATAAAAAAGAAAAAATTTTCTGCATTGTATCATAACTGGTGATGAAAAGTAGATATACTACATCAACCCAAAGCAAAAAAAATCGTGGGGGCTGCCCGGACACACCTCAATATCAACAGCTAAGGCGAACATTCATGGTTCCAAGCTTAAGCTTTGCATCAGGTGGGATCAACTTGGTATTGTTTATTATTGTAGTTTAACTTCCATGAACCTCAAACTTCAATTCTTGAGCACCCTTTGTGGAATTTGTTCCACTTCCATCAACGTGTGATAAAATTACTGGATTTCCATTTACAGGATTCAGCTCCTGTTGAACTATAATTATTTGGCATGTTAAGTTATTTGTCAAACTTCTTGGTTTTACTACTCCTGCTAAAAACAACAAAGATTTAAAACAAGGCCACACAGGATATTGTTTACTGCCAAGATGATCTAAACGATTAGAAAATAACTTTTCCATTTCAATAGCATATTGATCTCATTGCATATTGAGAAAAAGTATTTTTTTCTTTACAATTTTTTTTTCTCAATTGCATTTTTATTTATTTAGCTTCACTTGCAACTTTATAAATATTGAAACAGTGAGAAAAAGAGACTACAATAAAATTGTAATGCTGCTCAACTATATTGAGTTACTAACTGACATAGCATACTAATCCATCTGATTGACAATATTAAACAATTCAGCTTGATATACATTTCGTATATAAAAATATCATTTGTTGTTTCCTTTCTTTTCTCATCCTTATTCTTCTAAATTCTATCACCTGGGTCCATAAAGCAATGACCTGATTGAATAGAGGTAACGGTGAAGGATTCCCAGTGAGTCCAAAATAATGGACTCCGCCATACTCTGTATCTCATACCTTTCAACACCTAGCTGTTAAAAAAAAACTAGCAGCAGAAATAGGAGTTACCCCTTTAATTCCAAATTACCCTCTTTTTGCTAGAAGGCATTTTTAGTAACCCAAAAAACGATACCTCTGTCAGAAATTGATTGAGTGGTTGGGCAGTTCGAGCAGAAAAAGAAACATTTATCTGAGTGAATTATTGTGTTTTTTTTTCTCACTGCTTCAATATTCACAAAGTTGCATATGACGCTAAATAAATAAAAATTCAAAAGAGAAAAAAAATGTGTATACTAAAATCCAGAAAGATTTTTTTTTTTTTTTCCTGAGTGAGTTCTTCAAAAAAGATTAAAATAATATAGAGACCAATTCGCCATTGAAATGGAAAAGTTATCTTATTATCATTTAGGTCATCCTGGTAATAAACAAGATCCCACCTGGCCTTGTTTTAAATATTTGTTGCTTTTAACAGGAATAGTAAGACTAAGAAGTTCGACAAATAACTTAATAAGCCAAACAATTATAGTTCAACAGGAACTGAATTGTGTAAATGAAAATCCAGTAATTTTATCACCCTTTGATGGAAGTTACACCATCCATTTGCTATCGTGTATTCTACTTTATTTAAGATCTAGTAAAATATGTGCTTATTTATCTAGAAACATTCATAAAATTTCTTAGCCCGAACAATTTGCACTCCATTATGTTAAAGTATATTGAGATATGTTGTTAAGAAATAATTGTTTGATGACGTTTTTTTGAGTTGTGTTCTAAAAAAGTTTCCTCAAACCGATCTGATATCATAACGATGCTATCACTGAGAATATTGTTACAAATTAGTAAGGATTTTTTCTTAAATTAAAAAAAAAATATAGATTATGATTATAAAGCGTTTCCCGCAAGTAGAGGAAAATATTTAAAAGGTTAATAGTAGACATCAACATCTACAACAAAGTTCATATAAACAATTGTCCAATTTCCAGCCGAAAAGTAGGAAATTTAAGATTTCCAAGCAAATCATGTTTTTTGTTGAATAGGAAGTGATAAGTTAAAAAATATTTGATTAAAATAATTAAACATTGCTCTTAAACATTAAACTAGATAAAATTTAATTTTAAACGGTTTACAAATTGACAGTTTGTTATTGTTAAAACTATTTAAAGAGTTTAATTGAACGGAACAACACAGCTAAGTCCCGTTTCAAAAAGATTTTCATTTATTTATTCATTCATTCCATTCATTTATTTGTGATTTATTCTTATCACCCTTTAACTCTACTATGTTTGCACCACTTTTAGAAAAACTTTCTCGTTTAATAAGCATGAAGTCCATATTAATTAAGTTGAAGTTTATTAAGAAAAATTTATAGATTTACCTCAAGTTGTGAGACATGTTATTTTCTATCCATGTTACCTAAAAGTATTCCTTGTTTTCTACAATAATTGCAACAATTAACTGATGCAAAGCTTTTATTTCTTATTTTTCCGTGATATAGGATGTATTGTGATAAATATGATTGCCTAAAAACATTTTATTTATAATAACAAAAAATTTTAAAATGATGATTTTTCATGTAAGGTGGTGGTTATGAAATTGTGATTTTCTCCCATATTTCTGTCATATGAATTGATGTGTATTTATAAGTGATAAACTTAATGTTTCTAGCCCTAATGTTTACATTTTCATGAAAAAAATTAAAGCAATCAATAGGTTTCTTTATTTTAAACATAAATTTTAGTAAGAAACATCAAGTTTGTCACTGATAAATATATATCAATCCCTATGATGAAGATCTGAGAGAAAAAACACAGTTTCATAACTACTTTACATGAAAAATATTTGTAAAATCATTTTTAAATTTTTAATTTTTATAAATTAATTTTGTTATTAGGCAATTATGTTTATTATAATACATCCCATTTGACAGAAAAACGATAAATAAAAGCTTTGCAATAATTCTAACAATGAAAGTGAGTTTATCTGGAACCTAAATAATGTTTAAATGGCTACTGTATTGTAAATACAACAGCAGGGTGGAGTTATGTTGTGAAAAATGCGTTTGGAACGACCATGTTAAGTCGCAAGTGCGTTATAACAGCAAGTGATGTAATCTTTGCCCCCTAGAATCACGCGGTTTGAGTGGGAAGCAGTGTACTATCGATGTACCCTTAAACTAGAAAGTATATAATTTTATATGTCATTCACCTACAGCACTAAACTGGTATAAGGAATGATGACTTGAATAAGCAAAGACTTTTCTTTTTTTTTACTTCTTTATCAAACCATAACTTCATTTTCACAATACAATTGATATTAAGCATATATACAAAGTCCATTTAACAAACAAGTTAAAGCAGAATTTGATTTTAGTACAGCCACAAAAAAAAAAAAAATTGATTCCTTTATATTCCAAAGGCTATCGAATAATACTTGTATACATTTAACTCTTAAACTTTAAAGAGATTTTTAAATAAATATTTAACAACTTCAAATTAGAAAGTTTAGTACATATTAAAATGGTAACAAATTGTTTATCTATATTGACATAAACCTACAGTACTATTTACTAAATAAAATAAAATATTTATAACTAAACAAGTAAATACTTTATCACAATAAAACAAATTAGTTATGATTAAATAAAACATCTAGTCATGTTTGGTATCAATAGCACACAATTCTTAAAATAAATAATTTATGTGAAATATTTGACAAACATCTAATTGAGCAGAATTTTTGAAATGACTAAACCAATTATTTTCTATTTAAAAGCAATTAATCACAGAATAAAGTATTAATGCTGTTTTAACACTTGCTAAATATAATATCAATTTTTTATAATGAAATAATATCATAAATTATGATTGATAAATATTCTTCAAAATACTCTCATATGAGCTTAACAATGTCAATAACAAAACAAAACTAATACAGTAAAATTTACAATCATTTCATTATAATAAATGTTTTTATAACTTAGTACCTTCAAAACGACATATTGCAATAAAAAATTTTCCTAAGAAATAATGAATACAGAAATATAAATTAACAACAGTTTTTGAAATGTCTGTATGATTGTAAATATGAAGAACAATAGGGTAAATAAATATCTTACAACACATGGATGAGGAATACAGTACACATACATATATTAAATATATGTGACAGTGATATACATATGTCAATTCTAAAACTATGATAAACAAAATATTACTAATCCATTGATTGAAGAAAGTCACACACGGAAATAACAAAAACTGATCACATTTCCCCATAATTTATTTTTTTATTTTACATATATTACACTTAATACAACATATAACACTTGCTGTAATCAAAGATAAAACATACTTAGTGAACACTTATTGAAAAATCTTTAATGTTTTGTGCAACACATATCTTTAAAATGTCATGATAGTGCATGAGTCAAGATTTTTTTAATAATTCATTTCAATATATATATGTAATTACTTCTGTAATTACTTTAGTACATATACAAAGTTTTTTTAATTTTTATTTATTTTTTTTATTTTCCCAAAATGAGACGCTTGTCAATTTGAGCACAACTCTCAACAAATAGTCATATGAGAGCCGGGATACACCTAATAGTTACACTTAATTTTACAAGTGAAAAGTAATGGGACCAACAACATCATCTTTTCTTCTTTTTTTGTTTTCGTAACTTTTTTGATGATATTTGGTTCAATTTATCACTAGAATCTGTTTTCTCTTCAGTATTTGATGATGTCAACTCTAACGCAGGAGTTTTTAATGCACTCTCATCAAAGTCTTCCTTGCTTGATTCAAATGCAAGGGAATCACTTGCTCCATCATCATTACATGATTCATAGACAGAATCACGATCTTCTATGTTGCCACGTTGGTCTCCAATGCTAACGACATTACTCCAACTTCTATTGCCATTTTGTTTCCTCATTGGTTTTTCTGAGCTATATTCATTTGAACTGTCAGAACTTTTATCTTTAGGCCCCTCTGCAGCGCTATCAATAATTTCTGATGATTCTTTTACTTTCAACTGAGTTTCTGAGGATGTTTCATCACTTTTTTTTCCTTTCTTCCTTTTTGGAACTTTCTGAATAGCTGTTTTAGTTTCTGAGACTTGACAAGATTCATCACTTGACTCAGAATCCTTAACTTCTGCTCTAGCTGTTGCGGGAGATGGAGATTTCTTTTTATCAGAATGGTCTTTATCAGATGATTCACTCCTTTTTTGCTTTCTCGACCTTTCCTTCTTATTTATTTTTGAGTCATCAGATTCCTTACCAGAATGAGATGATATATCTTCTACCTCTGATTTATCTGTGGAAGCTATTTGATCAGAATGGACATCTTCGGAAAATATAAGTGGTGCTTCACAAGTAGAAGACAAGCATTTAATTGAGTCTTCAAGAGCACTTTCATTCATTTCTAAAGGATTCATCAGTTCCTCTTGTACAGCTTCACAAGTTGAAATTACATCAGACAAAATTAAAGTCGGATTATCAATTTCTTTCCTTATAGGAGCTGAATCTGCTTCTACATTCGAACCCAAGTTTTCTGGACTATCATTTATAACTGTTTCTGATTTTGCACAAACCAAGTCACAAGAATCAACTTCACTAATATCAGCTAACTGATTCGATTCATGAAGTTTTTTGTCTTTTTTTCGGCGTTTATTTTTGTTACTGCGACCATTTTTAAAATGTACTTTAGTGAAGTTTTCAGAAGCATCCTCTTCTGGAATGCATGGTGACTCAGTCAAATTTGAACTTTCTCCTTCACAAACTTGGTCATTAGTTGTACTATTATCATGTTCTTGGCTTTCATGCGAAATCAGTGATTCTACAGAACATTTTCCCTCATCTATATCGCATATTGAGGGTCTATTACCATTCATATCACTCTCTAAAACTGATTGATCAGTTTCATGAGAGAGAGGAGTTTTAGTTTCTTCAATATTGATACATTTGTCGTTAGAAGAAGGCTCAGTATCTCCCTCAGTTACTACTGGTTCAATAGCAGAATCATCTAAATCAACTAAATGACTGTCACAAATATTACTATCAGAGCATTTTTCTTCAGTAGAGACCAAATCATCAGCAAGTATATCATTGCTAAACTTGTTGGTATCCTCATGAACATTAAAATCATCTTCTAGAATTAAAATTTCTTCAACATGACTTCTATTAATCTTTGAATTATCTGAAAAAGTGTCTGGCTGAATGATTAGATTAGTATCAGAAAGTTCTTCATTAATTGGTTCATGAATTTCTTCAGAATGAGGTTTATCAATGGGATTAATTCCAGAAGAAGGAAGATCATCCATGATTAAATTAATCTGAACTTCTTGCAATGGTCCCAACTGTATTTCTGAACTGGATGACATCAGATTAACATCACTACTACCTTTTAAATCACAACTTGAATTGGTATTATGTTCTATAGACGAAATTTTAGTCTGCACTGATTGGTCTTCATCAGCAATTACAAATATTTCACTTGTTGCTGTATTTGGTAAGAAAGATTCATCTTCTTTTTTATCATTCTTCTGTGTAGTTGATGAAACATTTTCCTCTGTCAATGATGGCTTTGGTACATCTTTTTTTCTTTTCTTTCTCCCTTTTCTACTAACAATCTTTGGGAACTTCATTTCAGTTTCGTGAGTTATTAACGCACTTTTTCCTGTGGAAGTAGCACCTTCCTTGTCAGAACTACTTATTTCAGATTGATCTTTGCTGAAATCAATTAGAGGCTCTGAATTATTAACTGATGAACTAGGAATAATTTTGTTAGCATTAGATTTTTCAATTTCTTTTGGTTGGAATGAATAATTTATTTTAATCTCACACTCATCTAGTACTTTCTCTACCAGTGATTCACGTACGAACACTTCACTATCATCAACATTAAGTTTCAAATTGTCAATATCACTCGATGGTGGCTGTTTTTCAAGTTCCTCAAAAGAATATAACTCAACATTTTCAGATTCGACAGTGTTTACAATTATATCAGAAGATGGTTCGGATTGTTTCTTATCAAGAGAAGCCTGGGTAATGGTGTCAGCAGCCTGATGCTCCTCCTTAGGAATCTTGACTGGAAAAGGTTGATAGAAGAGAGGGTGAGGCCAATGAGTGACAACAGCGACCGGATGGGTTTGAACGGCCCCGAGTGGATTGACCTGCCATTCAACCTCAGCCCTTCTCAGCTTCCCCCTCGCCTGACCTTCGGACAACAGAAAACACAGAGTCACTCTTTCAAAGGTCCAACACTGATAAAAAGTGCCCCTCATAATATAACATGTTACGGGACAAGATTAACAGGAAAAGCATGTTAAGTGTTGCCAACATGGATATGCCAGAAAAAAAAATTAGTCTATGAATAAAAAAATCAGAACTGGAAATGCTCTGCTTATATTACAAATTATAAATTTATTCAAATAAACAAAATAATAAAATGAATAATTATAAATCGAAAAAAAAAAATTAATTAACAATGGCATACCCACAGAGCTCTAGAAGTTAAAATGCGACACACACCTAATTGGGACTCAAAATTGGAGGAAATATGCATTAATCAAAATGTTAAAACAAAGGTATACAGGGCAGTTATAGATTAATATGCTAATAATCTATCTAGTATAAAAGCCATGCAGTGCAAATATTTTAAACAACATAAAAGCAATGCTTAAAACCCATAACTCAATTATTTCATTTAAAAATTAAATGAAACTTATGGAACACAAGAGCAATTTAAAATATTAGGTTAATCAACCACCCATGACATTTTATAATAAAATACAACTATTTTTACTATTAAGGAAACTAGTACTACAGAGATTACAGATGCTGCTTCAATAAATCAAATATGCTAGAGTATAGTTACAGACGGACCAGAATATGAATTCAATTTAATTCTCTTTTTTTAATGAATCAATATTAAAGGCAGCCAAAAATAATGCATCCTCAATAAAAATTAATGAAGATGGAATGATACAACCTATTGACTGTTTATTTATTTATTTTTTTTATTTGGTTCTATGTCAGTCAGGTAATAACAGAAATTACTGTTTATATTTTATAAACTTTTTTCCTTAAATAACTTCAAGAAGTAAGAAAGGTACAAATTTGTTTTTTTTTCATAAACAGACCTCAGTACTAAAATAACATATAGGCTGTATCATTTATTTTTTTAATAAACGTGTTCATTCAGGAGGCATTAATTTTTTTTTTTTAGTGGAACAGTAAAAATTCATAATAAAAGGAGATAATTATTTTATTAGATGTGTGCCGCTGAAGTATTAGATTGGTAAGAACTTAAATTCTGCAAAATAAAACAAAGTTCGAGTGTTGGTTGATAACTAAGTGACGCTTATGTTTTCCTTGTCAAGAAGGCACAGTACATTTAACATTATAAACAAAAAGTTAAATTGATACATTAAAAATTAATTTAAAAAAAAGACCAAAAAAATTTTAAATAAGAAAATGTGAAACAAAAACCAGTTCATGAAAAAATAATTAGCCATTCAACTAAAAAATATCATAGGTGGTAAATCAAAAATATAGTTTTGATTTTTAATAAAATAAAGTTGAGTCCTAACATTATTGTAGTTTGAAAAATAAACAAAGCTATAAGAATCAAAGTTTCTTATTAATCAGGCTATTGTAATGTAATAAGTTGATATAAATATATATATAAAAAATTGTATTTTGCTCAAATATTGCAACTTGTGGGAATGTTTGCATTATTACGCTGTACTTGCTCGAAATTCCTAGCGACCACGTAACTATTGAATATTATTTTTCATAATTATACTTTTTCTTTCACTTAAAGTCAATCTCAATATTGGTGGCCATTTTCAACTTAATAGCTAAACCTCAAGACACCAAAATTATTTCAATGTATCAAGTCATATGACCTGAATTTCTAAGCTTAAAAACGAACTGCCTGGCACATTAATTTTTAAGTGGAAGCTGCAAATTTCAGTTGTTTTTTTATTCAGTCAAGTTTTTAATTTTTATTTTATAAAGTTTTAGAGTAATTATAAACCTATTATATCCACAAAACTATGACTAATTTATTAAAGCATTTTTTGTGACTTTAAATTATGGTACTTGAAAAAAAAAAAGAGATAAAAGTTCTGCGGGCTTATGAAGAGAATGGATCGGAATAGGTTGAACAAACAGATATTCGATAGAGTAATGGGATAGAAGAACATAAAACGTTATCCAGAACAAATAAAAGAAGTGAAAAAAATAGGTATCAATGAGGAGCACTATCAAGATAGGGATAAACACAGGAAATTAGTGAAAAATATAAAGTTTTTGCACCAGCTAAGAAGCAAGAGAGTAAGAAATGGACAGAGAAGAGAAGGAGGGAGATGGGAGAAAAAATAAAAAGAATATGGGCAGAAAGGAAAAAGAAAAAAGATCTAAAATGATATACGCGTGGTCCATCGTTGGCCTGTACAGCAATAAATAAATAATATATACTTAGTAAAATGGGTGATGTGAAATTATGGTTCAGTAGTGAAGAATAACATTGATGATATCAAAAATGTATTCCATGAATATTCTGACTCTAGAACAGTTAGCTTTAGAGTTAAGAAAGAATTAAAAAACTGGTTATATTTAGAGAAAAATACAAAAACCTGACATACGTACGCACGCACCCACATATACATACATGGTGTCCAGTAAATAGAGAGAAATATTTAAAAGGCTGATAGCAGATATCAAGATTTACAAAAAAGTTTATATAAACAATGGTCCGATTCCAAGCAGAAAATTCAAGATTTGTGATTTTTTAATTGAGACACATTTTTTGTTGAATAGAAAACAATAACTACAAAAATATATAATTTAAGTAATTAAAAATTGCTTACCAGTAAACTAGGTAAAATGAAAGTAGAGTTTGCCATTGTTGAGACCAATTAAAGAGGATTTTTGAGCGACTGAACTCAGCTAAGTTCCATTAAAAAAAAAAAAATTATTTGTGATTTTTTTTTATCATCTTCAACCTACAGATAGCCCACTTTTAGAAAAACTTCCTCGTTTAATAAGCTTTAAGTTCATATTAATTAAGTTGAAGTTTATTCGGAAAAATTTTGATATGCATTTCAAGTTGTATAAACAAATTTTTATGATTTTATTTCCTGTCTCCTAAAAATAACCATGTTTTCAGCAAAAATAACTACAATAAATTATTGAAAAGCATTAATTTCTTTTTTTTTTTACCATGACCTGGGATATATTATAATAAATATAAATGCATAAGTACACTTTTTATTTATTAAAAAAAAAAGTTAAAATAATGGTTTTTCGAATATTTATCATCTCAAGTGAGAGTTAACCAATGTTTTTTGTGAAAATGATTAAAGCAATCAGCAAGTTTCTTTATCTTAAACATAAATATTAGGATTTGAAATATTTAGTTGGTGGCTTATAAATACAGATTAATAAGCTATAATAGAGAGTTTGGTTAAAACACAGTGTAATTATGCATTTATATTATAATACATCCCAGATCATAGAAACAAGGAAATTTAAGCTTTTCATTAATTTATTGCAGTCATTTTTACTGAAAATATGGTTACTTTTAGGTAACAGGACCACATATATAAAACCACATACATTTTTTACACAACTTGAGGCAAATCTTAAAATTTTCCCGAATAAACTTCAACTTAATTAATATGGACTTAAAGCTACTTAAACAAGGAAAATTTTCTACAATAAAAGGGTATCTGTAGTATAGTTTGATGGTGATAAAACAAATTGCAGATAATTTATGATTTTTTTTTTTAAATGGAACTTAGCTGAGTTCAGCCGCTCAAAATTTTTCTTTAAATGGTCTCAACAATGACAAAATTCTACTTTCATTTGAAGTAAATTTTATCTAGTTTACTATGAAGCAGTTGTTAGTTACTTAGATTAAATATTTTTGAAGTTATCACTTTTCTTTTCAACACAAAATTTGACTTACTAAAATAATTAAAAATCTTTAATTTCTTAACTTTTCTGCTAGGAATTGGGCCATTGTTTATAAAAACTTTTTTGTAGATCTTGATGTCTACTATCAGCCTTTAAAATATTCTCCTATACTTACTGGACACCCTGAATATATATATATATATATATATAAAGTGTATTAACTCTGGTTTTATAATAACGAAAACATATAGAAATCATCATTACATACATATTTAATTTACACAATTTAATTTTGTAAAAATAAAAAAAATGCTATTAAAACTGTTTCACACAAGCCTGCACAATCTTCTAAAAGTAATCTAGTGAGGGAAAATGTTAGGTGCATTACATATCCAAATTAGTGCAATCAAAGTTTAGCTTCACCATCTACAGTGACCTTTGAGACAGGGAAAGGTAAACACACACATTGGCTAGCAAAGAAATTATCACATTTACAAAATAAATGGTATTAAAAGGAATGTAGATAACGTTTATTTGTAAACTAAGAAATAAATAAAACACACAAAAATATAAACAATTAGAAAAATATAAAATTTACCAATAATACTCATTCAATAAATGTATCAGGAGCTGTCGTTTTATTGTTAATTCCAAAATACTAATTCACACTCACATAAGAAAAAAATACAAAAAACAGTAAAAGTAACCAACAATTTTTACCATGGACAGTTATCCTTAAAAATAAAGAAATATTTTTCAAATAAATTTAAATGGAAAACTTACAAAAAATATTTTATTCATGATAATAAGTAAGGCTTAAATAATTATAATAACTAGGAACGGAATTTTTGTGTAAAATAAAAAATTATGTACAGATATGGGCTATTCCACCACTGGGAAAATTATGTACTAAGGATATTGTGGCTTCAGTGTGAGATTTATTGTACGCTTACTGACACCAGTGTAAACTAGACACTTTCAGCTTGGAATTTAATAATTTTTTATCATAGAAATAAATTTTTTTCACAGTTAAATTTAAATTCAAATTGTCAAAATCTAATTTCCTCATGAGTCCCATAACATGAGTTTGCAACTTTGAGGGTAAAGTTCCCCTATTTCCATTATTATTAAGTTACTTTTTTTAAATTAGAGCCATTAGACTCTGGTAATATGAGCTATTAAGTGTTGTGAGAAACGGGAACAGTTGTCAACACAAAAAATGACAATTCTTCCGTCCCATAGGTTTGATCTATTTCTTTCCCAGTGTATGAAAATTCTATTCCCCTCGTCAAA